TAAAAGTCTGATTTAATACTAACAATCCCCAAAAAATATGGCTAATTGAATAAATGTTCAAAAGAATGTGAATAAAAGTAAGCAGCATGTTTCAGAGCAGCTGGTGCATGTCTGTAGGTCTTCTCACTGTTTCTCTTCATGTCAGCTATCAGATAAATGCACGAACAGAGCTTGCAGTACGCTACAACGACATCTCCCCACTGGAGAACCATCACTGTGCTGTGGCTTTCCAGATCATATCCCAGCCGGAATACAACATTTTCTCCAACGTGGACCAGGACCAGTTCAAACAGATAAGACAGGTATGAGTCTTGGTCCCATCTGTGTCATACAAGCTCTGCTCGAAGTTGCAGCATGCACAGACCTCCCTGCTGTACAAGGCAAGTGAATCATTCTCCCCAGAGGGTAGGAATGAAAAACCCTCACACTAGAAGGATCCAAAAGGGATTCTTGAATGACTTCCACAACTGCACTCCCTGGAATGTCTTGCTGAGAAATAATGAGCACATCCTGACTGTTAAAGCCTGTGACATTTTTTTGTGTGGATATTTATGTTATGGAAGGAGCCAATTAGCTCTGACTGGAAAAGGATTAAGCTCTCATGACAGCAGTTTATGCTTTGAGAGAACAATGTATTAATTTTAAGAAAGGCTTTGAAATTGGAAAGATTTAGAGCAGCTGAGCACTTTTGCCATTGGAAGAGGCTGTGGAGGCCTGGGAGACATCACAGTTATCTCTGTGACAGTGAACAATACCATAATTCCCATTACAGCTTTAAGGGCCAATATTGTTCTTACTTTCCATGTCACACCTCCCTTACACACTCAATGAAACAGCAGACCAAAAGAAGGCTCCAGTATTGTCCTAGACAGAGTCACTTATTCTGCCAATGCATGGGAAGCAGGTATGGACCAAATAGGACAATGAAAACCTGCAGCTTTAAATTAACCACGTATTTTCCAATCATAAGTTCTGCCTAGTAGGGGGATACCACCCCCTACTCCGCTGTCTGTGGCTGGGTACCTCGAAGTGCTTCATCCAAGGATGCCGAGTACACACCGCTCCACTGATCTTTGTCCCTTCTTTGTGCTACTAGAGTCCGCTGCCAAACGTATGTTGCTTTCCAGGGAACCAAGAGTAGATCTCAGCAAACAGAATGTGAATTTTAACATCTTGTTTTACAACCCTATTTCCACACTCAGCCAGTCAGAAAGAAAAAGACTCACTTCCTCCAGAATATAACACCAGTATTATAGACCTAGCCAACCTCTAATATGCCATGACTGCTTTATAACTCCTTCCTAGTCTACTTTGTGGTTTGAAGTCAGAAAGCTCCCCTTTCAGTGTTACTAATATAATACATCTGGGGTTTTTTTGTGTGTATGCAATAGCTCCACTTTTCTCTGCAATAATGGACTTTGTACACAATATTGAGTTAATATGTGAACATGTTTTCTTTGCTAGGGGATAATTACATTAATCCTGGCTACAGATATGGCAAGGCATGAAGAAATACTGGACTCTTTCAAGGAAAAAATGGAAAATTTTGATTATTCGAATGAAGAACACATGACCTGCGTAAGGAGATTTGGTGGATTTTCATTTTTTTGTGCACAGTGTGATAACTTGCAGATGAATGTGCGTTTGTTTAAAAAAATCAAATTTCAAGATGTATTATATAAAACAATCCTTTTTAACACCCTCTGCCCCACCAAAAGAATTACAAACTTGGAAGCACTTTGTATAGAATAAATCATTCTATCTTAAAAAATCCTGAAGTGCCATCAGGAATCAAATACATTTACTCTATCAAGATACAAATTCTTATTGTCTGTTACTATGCAGAAAGTGTGTCCAGTACAAATTTAAGTCTCTTCTGCTTCCTAATCCAATAGTCTTTGAAGTTCCTGGAAGCTTTTCTTCTGACTCCATCCAAGCACTCACAAAGAAAGAACCTTATGATCATTTGTGGTAAAATCTTAGAAGTTCTTCACGTGATACATAAGCACATGTTCCTCTCTAAAACATCCCAGAGTTACAGACAGGAAAACTGAGGTAGAAAGGGGATAAGTCATTTACTCAGGATCACTGAGAGAATGGAAGGTATCTGTATCCTTTAAGACCTCTGATTTAATCCTAAAACTGCCTTTTCTGTCTGAAAGGCACAAGCTCTAGATAGGAGAAAAGGCCTGGCAAGATGACTGCAGTGTTAAAGTACTTCTCTTCTTTCAGCTGAAGATGGTCCTGATAAAATGTTGTGATATCTCCAATGAAGTCCGCCCAATGGAAGTAGCGGAGCCCTGGGTGGACTGCTTGCTAGAGGAATATTTTATGCAGGTAAGAGTGAACAAGAGACCTGGCTGCACTGATTGCTGCTGTTACTGCTCCCCACTTTGGTGGGAGCTGTCCTGTGGGCTGGCAGCCCGGCCCAGCTCCAGGATGGAAAGGCTGCTTTTACAGAGAGCTTCAGAAGGCTGTCGGCTACAGAAGGCTGCTCAGAAAGCAAATGGATGTAGCTCACTGTCATTTGTAGTTGAAAGACAGTAGCAACCTGAAAATCCTAATGCTATCAGACTGAAGCTTGTTCTCTGGAAAGGAACTGCCTTGCAAGTTCATGTGATATATATAGAGAGAGAGCCAAAAGAGTATTGCAAGTGACGCACAGCTGCGGGGTCTGAGAAGCACAACAGGCTGGAGATACCTGTCTTGGAAGTTTCTTCCACACACTGACAGGGTGTGTGTAAAGGAGAGGCAGAGACCTCTAACAGTGTGTTAAAAGCACCTCTAGCTCCCTGCATTGACCTTTTTTTTAACCTCAAATTATTTTATCTGTGTGCTTTGCTGTTTTGACCTTTGAAGTATAGAGCAAAAGCACTACTGTGTGCCTGCAGACCCAACAGAGCAGTGAGAAAGTCTTTATGAGGCTGTCTTTTTTGGATGCACAATCCATGACCTGCTTGCACACGAACTCAGAGAAATAGTGAGTCATGTAGTCAAGCAGGTAAGGTGCTTAACTCATTTCAGCCAATGGAACTATACTCATTTGTGCCAAAGAAAGGTCTGAACTGTGGTTTGCACAACACGGTCTAAAGCCCTGAACACATATTTTTAGCTTTCTCTTGTTGAGTCTGTAGAAATTATGAATCCCTGGATGAGCTGGCATTAGCTTTAGTCATTATTAAAGAAGGTTTCTAATTCCTGGTTGAATACCCAAGAAGAATAACTCTGGAGAATGAAGAAATCAAGAATGGCAAAGAGCCATTACCACCTTTCTAAATGCTCAGGAATATTTTTCCCCATAAGCCCCATGTGTTGGCAGTAGGAATTAGGTGGCCTCATTGCCCTGTAAGCCTGAAGGTGACTGCTTTCATGTCAGTGCTGTGCAGATCTGTCTAGATGCTTGCTCTGAACAGAGCAGGATATATTACTAGCGTGAGGAAGTAGATTTCTATTCTGTTTTCTTTTGAGATATACCACTGAGTACATCATTATTTATCAGCCTGCTCAGTACATTAGTCTCCTCATTGGCTTCTCATTAGTATTAACATGGAGTTAAAATTTATTTGTATTTGTTCCAGAGCGACCGAGAAAAATCTGAGGGGCTTCCAGTGGCACCTTTCATGGATCGTGATAAAGTGACCAAACCAACGGCACAGATTGGATTCCTTAAATTTGTTCTCATCCCCATGTTTGAGACAGTGACAAAGGTAAGTTATCAAATGTGAGAAGCAGAAATGGGAGTGTGAAGAATTTCGTTTTATTAGCCAGGGAGACAGGAATGCACAAGTTACACCTTTCCTTTCCATCTGTTTCCAGCATGGATAAGTGAGTGAATACAAAAGGAAAAGTTAGTATTCTCTTTTCATTTTTTTTTTTCATTTAGTTATTCCCAGAAGTGGAGGAGGTGATGCTCCAGCCTCTTTGGGAATCCAGGGACCGCTATGAGGAATTAAAACAGATAGACGATGCTATGAAAGAGGTAAGCTCTAAGTACCTCTTCTATAAGGCAATCTTTATAACTTAATAAGTCAAACGTAATAATTTAATACTAATTTAATTCCCAAATAGTAGGAATGTTTATGGCATAATCATATGCCTAAGGAACACATTGACTACACCTAAGTGCAGAAAGGAAAGCATTACAGCGTTGCTCTCTGTAGGCTTTTCCTAACAAGAACAGTTTTATCATGTGGACAGGACACTATCTGTCACTCTATCACTAAAATAAATTGAGAAGTGCCCTGGAGCACCAGTTGTGCTGATACTTTTTGGTATGTGGGAAATGAAGGTTGCTTTACTTGATCTCTCACTGGCTGAGTGAGGGGAAGAGCAGCTTCCTGCCATCACTCCCACCTCCTCCAAAGCATTGTGGAGGGAACAGTCCTCTTCTCAGCAGCACAAAATACTGAGGCTAACTAATCAAAGAGTACAAGTTTTGAGGGCACTAGCTTATAAAGAAGAAGAAAATCTTCCAGGCATTCTTCAGTTTACAATAGGTATGCGGAGCACTCCTCAGAGGAGGGAAAAAAAAAGGCTCAAAGATGACAGTGAACCTTTCTGAGATCTTGTTGTTTTTCAAGCTGAGCTGAAATTTAACTTCTGGTTTGCAGAAGCTGTCAAAGCAGAGTTGTTATACAGACCGATGGAGCTGTAATTACAGTATACAAGAGGTCTTGGGAAAATGAGGACTGCTTCAACTCAGAAATACCTTGAAACAAAAGCAGGTAGCTAATAGTCCTAGAGCCTAGCTCAGCATATAATGAGAAATACTAAGTTCTAGCCTGTGAGATACCACATAACTGCCTGTTATTTCCCAGGAAATTTAGCACACACCTTGCGGGGAGAGTAGCACCGGACCCATAGCAGTGGGGGCACTGCGTGGGTCAGCAGTGCTTATTCCGCTTTGCTCTTCGTTTCAGCTGCAGAAAAAGAAAAGTGAAAGCTTGACCAGCGGAAGCACCGAAAAGTGAGCAGAAAAAGACCCTGAGCAAAGCCCCAAGGTCGTTTTTGTGTTTTCGGAACTATTATCTTTGCCAAGTAGACATGGGGACTACATCAGCAGCGTGTCCTCCAGAGAGCTTACCAGCCACCCCATGCCCGTGGCCTGCTTGCATGGGCAGCGCCATGGGCAGGCACTGACGGCTCCCCTCGCTCCAGAGCATGTGCCACGGATGCTGGCAGGACCGCCGTGCGGACGAGGTTGCAGCAGGACTCAACCACTCGGCAGGTCTGCCCTTCTGGGGACCACTGGGAATTAGACCCAGAATCTACAGAGACAATGCGGAGTTTTGCTAAGGAGCCTCTTCTGGAAGATGAGGCCCGAAACCAAAAAAGAACATCATTCAACTCCAGATACTGCATATACGTGTCCAGCAGTATGCTAATTACAGCATAGCTTGACAGATGCTTATATTCTGACAGGGGGTCTAGCATATGATTTTGTTTTCCTCATAGGCCCTAATGACACATTTCTCTGTATAGTACTTTGAATTTTATAGTGTTCACGGTACAGCCCAATATATTGGATGCAAATTTTCTTTTCTACACTAGGAGAAGTCAGAAGAAACCTTAGTGTGTTTGCCAGTTTGCTTTTTGGCCTCTGGTGCAGATAGGCGTCAAGGGATCCTTCAGCATGAGCAAAGGGAGCTCACAGCTGAGACTACCATGCAAACATATTTTTACCCTTACGGTTGCAAAAAGCAGGAAAAACTTTTGAAGGTGTACAGCTATTTGTTTTTTTACTTTCAAACTGATCTGCTAAATAATATATTCTTCTATAGAAATGAGTATCATACTTGTTTTCTTTTGATATCCACAAAAAAATTGCCTCCGTTCCCAAAGATGAACCCTCTCGTAACGAACATAAAGTGAGAGGCTGCAAGGAAGTGGGGAGGGCCTGGACTTCTTGAGAGGAGAAGTTTTAGAAACGTCTATTCTGTGGCAGCATTGCATTGTAGGAGCAGCACTGGAGCAGCTTCCCTTCCACCAATAACTTTGCACGTGCAACCCAATGGCCTCTCTGGGTGAGGCCTCACACTGTGGTGAGGCCAAAAGAAGCCCCAATTCCTGGCCCGCAGGAGAGGCGACCCATAGCCATGTCACTTGGTTGCCCCTGGGTCTGCACCATACCCTGCAGTCCCTCCATGGGCACCCACACTAGCACTGTTCCTCCGCCAAGGTCAAAGACACACAGGTGGTCTGGGCTTCTTTTTCACAAAGACAGGAGTGGGTGGGTGGCCAGTCTTCCCCCTCATGACACAGGTAGCACCTGGATAACCTCAGCGTCTCTGGGGGTACCAGGTGACTAGGGCCATGTTCAGCATGGCCTCCAGCCCTGGAAATACATGTTTCTGTACATTAATTCTCAGTTTCCCTCTTGTTTTCCTTCAGGAGCATTACTGTTTGGTCCATTTCTTTGCCCTAAACCACGTTATTTCAGCTACTCTCTAGTTCTAGTTCTAGTTCTCTAGTTCTCTCTAGTTCTCTTCCTGCTTCCATGTTCTCTGAGACCCATGACCGACCCACAGCTAGTTGTCCCTGCTGGTGCCTCTTTTTACCTGAGCTGTCTTCTCCTTTAAACAACCTTTTGTGTGTGTGTATTGGTTTTGTGCTTTCTGTTGTGACTTGGAGAAGGGTCTGATCCCTGGATTTGAACAGCCTTGGGGGAGCACAAGGGTGATGGGAAGATCCAAGCACAGAGTCAGCTCCAAGTTATGTAGACATATACACAAGTGGATGAACTAAACTCTAGTTTTAATTACCCTCAAACTTTTTGATGCTTGAAAGCTGCCTCTGAAATCTGTGGCTTGGGCCTTTTTCTGCACTAAATCTTATAATCCAAAGTTCGTTGTGACCCAGATTGTTTTGCCGTGGAACTCTTCACTTCTTTTTCTCAAGCAAATCAAATTTACCATCTCCATTCAAGTGGATTTCCGTCACAAATCAGCTCCCAGAGCAGATGTGCTGCATAGGCGCTATAAACAATAGCTCAGAATATGCCAAGTCCTGCATTGAGCTACTTACATTAGATGAGAAAACCTGCTCTAGGAAGCTGACTGCCCCTCCTCCTGCTGGAAGTGTTTAAGAGTGAGATCCTAACAGAAAGTTTTGTTTCAGTCAGAAGGATTTTCTCTAGCCATAAACCCTAATCCAGCAAGTATTTATGCATGTGCTCCCACAAGCCTAGTCACGGCCCCTGGCGTAGAGTAGCTAGTTGCATAGTAAAGGCTCCTTAGCCTTTTCTAATTGAGGAACATGTGAGTTTTGTAACTGATGCCTCTTGGTGCTGGTTTTGGTTACCACCACCTGAACATTGTTTACTGGAGGGAGAAGATGTAAGGATATTGGTGAAATCCTGCTGACTTCTTTGGAGCCACATCAGAAAGAGGGAGAAGGGGATGTCTTACTCAAGACAGCACTAATGACTGTTGTCATTTTGCAAGGCACTGTGTGGCTCATTGAAAGAACAGGCAACACCCAGGCTGCTATTTTTAACAGCTGCAAAAAAGACCACAAGAAGTCATTACCAGTCATTGGTAGAAACTGGGATGCCACAGCATTTTTAAATCTCATCTGTCGTCATTATATTTGATTTCTAAGAGACACTCCTCCTCCCAACATCTGTTTAGCCAAGGGGAATGTAAGACATTCTCTCTTAATTCTAGTTTCCTGCACTTTTTTCCCCATAATATTTGGCACTGTGATTCATATGTAAATGAATAGATTTGAGAATCTTGGCAATCAGTCAATTAAAATGTCACATATTTTCACAGTGATATTTTAAAACTATGCTTAGCATGGAAATGAAGTTTTTGAGGCAATCAGACAGAAGCCTGAAGGGAGTTTTATTTTGTCTCTCCCTAATCCAATGAATAAGAACAAATATTATATCTCAGTGTTATTTTTTTACTTTAACGTAACTGCCTAGAAAGAACTTTATATGGCCTGGCACTTACATGTCAGCCTTACACTGCTACATTTTCACTTGGGATCGGAGATGACTATGAAGTAGTTTATAACTATTCCACACTCTTTGACTTGGAAATTAATCATTCTTTTTAATTATGCCATCCTACAGCCTTGTGGGATGACGTAATCAGATGCCAGAATAAGATCAAAATAAGCTATAGTATAACTGCATGGCTGGGGAAGGAAACAATTTTTTTTTTAATGTGAATATCCCCACAGCAGCCAATTTGCAATGAAAAGGTGGTGTGTGATAAATACATAGGTTATGTAATGCTAAAGAAATATCTGTACATGGAAATTACTGTTCTTGGTACTGCCTCTGAGCAGGAGTAATAACAGCGGTAACTATTCCATATGGGAGTGAAGCACAGGGCCGGTGCTAAGCATGAGCCCATCAGGAGAAACAATGTCATGAAGTATTAAATTTTCCTATTTCAGTAGTGGGCATTTGCTGTGAGTGGCCCTCTGCTCTGCGAATATCTGACATGAGAAGAAATCCCACTCTTGCACTCGTGGCCTTAAAATCATGCACACTTCTTACTGTTCACCTATCATGATGGTCTGTCATGTTCTCAAGGTTTCTGTGAGACAACAGACGCAGTGGGTCAAACCTGCCCCGCTAAGGCAACATCTGCCCCCGCTCACCTCTTTCCCAAAACACCCCCTGGGCGTTGAGACAAGGTGCACAGCACGGCCCTGGCTGCAGCCTGAGCACAGCAGGGACTGTGTGCAGGAGAGGCGCATGGGAACCAAGAGTTATTCTTTTCAGAAAATATGACTTCATAGAGACTTTTGGCCAAAAACCTTATTAGATGTTCTCATAAATGAAGAGGCTGTATCCAACAAGCCAAGCATCTCTTTCTTCGCCATCAGGTGGTGGTAGGCCCAGGGCTTTGCTTTTATGCCACACTTTTCACTATTTCACACTTACAACAAAGCTCCCTGATGGTCTTGGCGGGTAGTCAAGAAGTACAGGTGTGCTCAGGCACAGGCATACATGCAGAATTGCTGTCTGCAGACATTTTGGTAACAGCACTCTTGGCTCTGCTGCAAGACGAACTGAGACCCAGGAGGCTTTGGAAAGTGTAAATGAGTCTTGCAGCAGCCAGAACTTTCTATAATGCCTCAGAGGGAAAAATCTCTGTTTTCCAAATTGTGTGGAAACACACTTACTGCCTGGCTGATAGACACCCTTTCCCTGAAGGAAACTCTGGGATGACAGCAACTTGGAAGGGAGCTATTGCTGTCTAGAGCTGACGGTGTCCTGGACCTGGGTTAGCTGGGATGCATTCCAGCCTGAAAAGTGCAACAAGAAAGTCAACATAAAAATATATAAATCCTCCTCATGGCTCCATGTGCCCAAGTCTTGCTGCCAGCCTTCCCAGTTAACAGCTCCTCCGGTTAACGCATGCAAGTCAGCTGCCCTCCAGCTCCTCTCTCTGTGCTCACGCCACCGGGGAGCTGAGGGCTTTGCAGCCCTGCACAGCACATGAGGAGGCTTCAAAGCACCCCCAGCAAACAGGGTTACGTATGGGCAGCTAAGTTGAATGCCATCAGATACATGTGCACCCCACGCTCGGCCCCTGTCCCGGCTCTCTTCAGCAAGCCAAGTCGGGTGGCTCCCCTCACCAGAGAGATGCAGAAATGGCCCTGGTGAGGGCCAGCGCCACAGGGAAGCTGTGCTGTCATGTGCGGCCACCATGGCTCCCTGGGCTGAGCGTGGTAAGAGGTTCAAATAAAAGGCAAAAGACTGGCGAATGGAAGGCAGAACGAACAAGGCATTTATTCTCAAGTTGGTTTGCTCCTTCCAGGGTTATGTTGAGGGCCTGACAGTGGTTGTTTTTTGAAAGGAAACTTCTTTTTTGGTTGTTTTTTCTTCTTTTTTTAATTTTTTTTTTCAAGTCCTTTGCCATCTGGCTCTGGAGTGCTCAATCTGCTCTCCAAGTCGACATGCTGGAAAGACATTATAGCGGTAACATTTGTGTACTGCTGTAGTCAGTGC